AAAGCAACATCTAAACTGCAGTCATTTCAACCGGGACTATTTTTCTGCAAAAATAAGGAACCCATGAGAATAAATCTAAAGAATCTATATTCACGCACATGTTTCTATTCGTAGTGGCTATAAACAACATTTTGGATGGAGCGGTACACGCTCTGTTATGATTAAAGTTTAGTTTCTCTAAGATCTTTCAAAATATGTAGCTGAAGGCCGAGTGAGCCAGAAAAGGCATGTAAGACGTGCACGTGCACCTCATTGTACAATGTGTGGTAAAGCTGACAACTATATTTGCTTGCCATCAGTACAAAACAGCCAAAAAGTAACAGATGAGACTAGATAGCAGGTACATTTGTAGTGATACTGATACTTTGTTTCAGAAAAACATGTAGAAATGTGTTTTTATAAACTCTTTTGATGAGCATCAGCATGAGGTTGAGGTAACACTGGTGCATGATGGGAGACATGCAAGGGACCAGTGAGTCCAGAAAGTGTTTGTGTGCTCCCACTCCAAATCAGCCTCTGCTGCCCCCCTGTGGTTTCTCTCCAACACAATGCGGCTTCTAAATGTTGCTGAGTGGGCCTGACCTTACACCACGGCAGTCACTGTGGTTTGAATCTCTGCAGTTGTTCGGCAGTTGCAGTTGCTCAGCACTTTAATTTCAGCCCTTTTCGGTGTTTGATTTGGGGAGGGTTCGGTTCAATTGCAGTTTCAATACTATTTCCGATACATCTTTCGCATCCGTGTGATCTAAATCATCTCTTTACTGTAAACTAGCTGATTCATATATGACTCACTGACCTTTGCTTTTGTCCAAAGAGGCTTGCAATAAATGTTCCGTACTTCTACTTTAAAAGTCAATGCTTATTCGGCCTCATCACATTTGTCACGTTGTACAGAGTCTTCCAGTTTTCATTCTAAGTTAAAGGCTAACCTGTTAGCAAACAAATTAACCAACTTCACTGCATTAAGCAGGAACAGGTATAGCCTTCCTCTGAATTAACTGAATGTGTTGCTTTATTTTAAATTAATTAATTGAAATGGATCACAAAATGAGAAAATTGTCGAAAGAAAAAAACTAAACAAAAAAACACAGATCGTCAAAGTGCTTCTCCTGTGGCGCTTTTATTTTGATGCTTGTTTGAAGGCGCTACAGTCACACAGCAAACATTCAGTTAGTCACTAAATTAATACCTACAGAAATGTAGAATCGGCTAAATGTAATTTGATTGATTCGCTGACTCTGCTAAGAAAGGCCACATCAAGGCTGAAATACAACACTATTTTCCTTTTACTGTAAAATACTACTAAAAAATGATTTGGTCACAACAATTCAAATAAAACAATGAACTGATTTGCATGATGCAACCGTGAAAACAACCAAGTGAAATGAATCCAGCTTCATGTGGAAAAAGGCAAGGAGTCAGTCCCAATAAGGATGCAGATCACCAATGTTTGTTTGTTGCTAGAGCTCATTCATCAGCTTTCCTCTGACACACCAGGGAAGTGGTTGATTTCATCACACCTCGCGTCATCCCTGTACAGTCCCTTTTGCATCTTCCAATGCCAAAATATCATGACCAAGTAGAACAACAGTGACATTTTAAGAGTGGATTTTGCCGACATGATGTGGGCCGTTTCCAGGCAGTGGGAACAATAACAACAAAAACTAAAATGCTTTGGGTTGGATGTCAGCAAAGTGCTGATGTGTCCTGAAAAGCAGCGAAGAAGATCTCAAAATGGAATGAAAGCAACAAACCACCAAGTAACACAATCACACGACCAATACCTGTGAATGAACTCTAATTCTAACAGCTGACGGCAATAAAGTTACATTCCGGCCCATTTTTGTTATTTCCTGTTTTATTTTGGTACTCTCCTTCCTGCCAATGCGATTACCTACCTCACATTAATCACTTTGTGTATTTAGTGTGCTCTCTTAAGTCTGTACCAGTTTGTCTTAACTGTTTAGAGAGCGTTCCAGCGGTTATGTCTGAATAGTTTTCTAGTATTTGGTAACGCTGTCTGTCTTCATTTGACTGCCCAGTGTGTACTTTTCTGTGTTTTTGTCAAGTAAAGACTTTTGCTCGTACATTTTGTCCGTGAGTTGTTCTTTTGTGTGCATTTCTTTCTGGTTGTCATTGTAGCCTCATAAATTAAAAAAATACATGACACTGGAGCAACGTGCTGTCTATAAATAGAGGCAGAAACACATCTGGCATATCCAACATAGCTGTTTGCAGCTATACCATCACATTAGGTATGTATGTTAAAAATACTCAACTGAATATGATTTAATAATCAACAGCTGGCAGCACAACAGCAGACATCAGAACACATCCTTCCAGGTATAAGAGTGTATAGATGCATGCTCAGAAACGTGGAGGTTGATGTTGAGCTTAGCCTGATAACACAACGCTGAGTCTGAAATGTTCAAAAACATTTGATATACAACATGGGGTTTTTTGCTGCTATATTAATGGTCAGAATGTTTAATACAGCTCCTTTTATGAGCACTGAAGCCTCATGGGACTGCTAGCGTGGCTGTAGACTATTTTTAAGATCTCATAATTAGGAGAAAAACACATTTCTATTACAGACAGACTGAAGATGCTGCTTACTTCCGAAACCTGAGATCATCTTTCTTATTTCTGGAACGGGAATATATAATGTGTGAATTTGTGGTTCACAGGTGTTAAAACCTCCCACTTCAATATAGGTCATACAACACAAAATCTTTATCTTTTGAATCTTGTATAAATAAATTGTGGGCCACAACACAGATCAGATGTTTGTGTGTGTTTCTCGGTTATATTTTTAAATAACAGCAAAAATCCCCCTAGCTGCTAACTTCCCCTGGCATGAGTCAGGAGCACTCTGTCAACCACCGTCTAAGCAATGATGTTAGTCCAGAAATATTTGTCTCAAGTGTTTAGACAGACACAATGTTTGTGTCACTTCACACATGCTGTCACTAATGGACGCAGATGAGCGTTAGTTTTTCTGGGATGTTTGTATCGTACTCTGGTGCTCTTTTACAATCACAACCATCTGTTTGTGATCTGGACAAGTATTTAATGCAGTAAGAGGTTTGAGTTCCTCTGGCAGCGCAGCAGCTTCATACCTGCACTTGACGTATAGTCTCATACTTAGCAGAACGCTGTCATTACGAGACATTTTACAAAAGTACGTCGATAATACCGTGAGCTGAGACTGTGACAAATCATTCTGTCAAATGTCTGACATCTCCTTATTGTTGTCAGAGCGGCAATTTAAGTTAACTCTGCAAGCACGTAGCAGACGATGTTATTATGTGAATGATTTGAATTGGGTGAGTGTAAATTAGTTTAAAAGAAGTTAAGGAATTACATTGTTGTTGCAGGAGCAAATAATTATATACAGTATCATTGTTGTTTTACACAGACAGTGCTGTAGTAGACGCACTAATAGGCAGCATGTCTTTACCTGCCGTGACTCAAAAGACCTGCAAATAACTGCAGTTTACCTATTGTCTGGAACAATACTCTCAAGGTCTTTTAATGCCAAATGCCATTTGTAAACATCATCACTGCTGCAATGCCAAACCGAAGAGTGACTCAAACTTGTTAGAATCTTTTCATTGAAATTATTATAATACGTCTCTTCGAGAAGAATTGTTATTTTCTATAAAAATCCATCCAGGTGTGCAGTTCCCCTCCTTCAGCCTTGCCTACGCTATATATATGATATATATACGATATATACGATATAGTATACAATATATACGATCAAGAAGGTTAAAGTTCAAGGTGTAATGTTATGACGAAGTAGTATGTCTCAATTTATGCATACTACATGCAACAGTAGGTACTTTGTAAGGGCAGCTGCAGTATGTACTTAAAATATAAATGTAACACATGTAATATATCCACATGAATATGCATCGTGAGAAAGACTACTTATGGTTGATGGGACACAGAACTTTCAACCAGGAGACCTGTTTCCGTGTCCCAAAGTGTTATTGTGAAGATATGTTAGTGACGAGTTTATGTACTTATTTTAACCCCAACCACGATGTTTCTCTGAACTAACTAATTTGGCACCATGAATGTTTGTACAAAAGTTCATGACAATGATGTTTCATTCTGGACCAAAGTGGTGAACACACGTAGACTGACGTTGTCATCCATAGAGCCTGTTCAGTTCCCCATAACTAAGCAAAATACGATCATTCACATATTAGATTCGTCATTTATGCTCTGTGTTATCCTGGTGAGTCTGGATCACTTACTCCTGTATAGGGCAACATGGGAAAATCCTGAATCAGGAAGAGCTGATTTCAATTAATACCAGACAAAAACCCACACATGTCACTTGTTTGTCTCATTGTTTGTGAGGATCATCATGTCGAATGCACTCATATAAACCATGATATCCAAAGGGACATGTACATTTATACATCCTGCTTTCATTATGGCTCTCTGTATTCTGATGTGTGTTTGTTAGTCACATATCCTGAAACGTCCTCACCTAAAATAACAAGACACAGAATGACTATCATGTGACCAGCATGAAATAATTCCCCAAATTCCCTACTTTTTATAGTATGTCATTGCTTAATTTCTTTATTTCAACCGTAGAGGATGTACAGATAATAACTAATGATGTGAAATTCTTATGAAGGAAAGATGTCTTAGTGTATATCTGCTAAAAAGGACCATCCCCTTCTAAATCTAAAGACGGTCATGTTATTCTTGTTTGTTTCCCTGGATGACCATTTGAGAACAGGGAAACGTTTCATCTCAGCATTTTAAGTGGGTTCAAAGGAGTACACTGAAACCACAGACAGCAGTTTTACAAATACAAGCACATTCTTAATGTGAAAAAAGTAGGAAAAGAGGAAGTGGTTAGGTGCTTTTACATGAATCACCGAGACCCTTTGAAAAAATGGACCCAAAACACTATAAATACCTCTCAGAGCTTCTTGATCCCAATAACTGGTTTGGACGACACGGAGGCAACAACAATGATAGCTGTTCTGCTCCTGTCGCTGGTCGCCCACTCCTTTGCTCTGCCTCTGCCGTCCGGGGACAAAGACAGCTTGCTTTTAGCAGAGGTAAGATCTGAGCTCTCTAATTCAGACGTTGTTTAATCTTCTGAGCTGGTTTTCAGGTGGCTTTTTCTTTGCCACATCAAAGAAAAAAAGAGTCCAGACAGTGTTGTTATGAAGTAACCGCACGCCTATTTGTTATGAATGTCATCCAGCTTCTGTTCTCTTTCAACAAACAGAAGTACCTTCGTCGGTTCTATGGCCTCCCAGCTGGTCTCCAAGGTAGACAGAGGTCCTCAGGTGCCTTTCAGACCAAGATCACGGAGATGCAGAGATTCTTCAAACTCAAGGTGAGTGGTAGTTATTAATCCGATGCTGGTACTGCAAATGAGCAGCTGTTTTGTAAATATTCTTAGTTTGAGTAGGTTTAAATGGTAGTTGAATAAGAGAGGAGAATAATGAGTCTGGAGCTTGTTGGTGGGGCACCTTAAGATCTTTTAGTGTGATATTAGCTTGAGGAGAACCTCCTTTTGTGCTCCTCTTGTGCAAATGTGGAAGTGTAGATAACATTTACATTAAAACTTTAAAAAGCTTTGTTTTTTGTGGGAAGGAGGTTTAATGGGTTGAGTCACCCGTGTAACATATTTTTTTTTCCACCTCTTCTGCCTCTTGAAGGTGACGGGGAATGTGGACGACAACACTCTGGAGCTGATGAAACAGGCCAGATGTGGCGTCCCTGACGTCGGGGAGTACAACCACTTCCCTCGAGACCTCAAATGGCAAAACAACAATATCACATTCAGGTATGCATCACAATAATAAAGTATAGTAAAGTAAAGTATTTGAACTACTCGGAAAGTGAACACCAGTATCATTTGTTCAGTCCTTCTCCTTGTCTTAAATCCCCTGATGCTGCAGGATAGTGAATTATACACCAGATCTGCAGAAGTCTGATGTAGACAGAGCCATCCGCAATGCGCTGAACATTTGGTCTGACGTCACCCCTCTGACCTTTAAGAAGCTGCGCGAGGGCATCGCTGACATTATGATCAGCTTTGGAAGTAAAGGTAATTCTGACATACTGTTGCATGTCCTCTGAAAACACACACAAAAATACAGATGTGAGTATTTCTACACTGCTCATCACATGCTCTAAAGAATTATAACGGTGCAGATTCTGCTCAACATGTTAATAATGCCTATGCTTTATTCTGTAGAGCATGGAGACTATAACCCCTTTGATGGGCCTAACGGATTGCTTGCTCATGCCTACCCACCGGGCCAAGGCATCGGAGGAGACACTCACTTTGATGAGGATGAAAACTGGAGCAAAGATTCATCAAGTAAGCGCTTTGCACAAATGTCCAGCATAAGTCCCTAAACTGTACCCTGATGATTAACACTGAATATCTTTTCTCCACAGCTTACAACCTGTTTATAGTGGCGGCCCATGAGTTGGGCCACGCCCTCGGCATGGCCCATTCCACAGACGCGGGCGCCCTGATGTACCCCGTCTACTCGTACGCTACAGGCTACCCACTGGCTGAGGATGACATCGAAGGCATTCAAGCTCTCTACGGTGGGAAAATACAAGATCACGAGTCAAATCAGAAAGCGATACCCTGCTTTTTTGTAGCATGCGACTGGGTCTTTATTTGTTCACGGAAATATTATGTGAACTGTGCATTAATGCCAGATGTTCAATCACAGGCCCGAACCCAAACTCAAGGAAAGTGAAGCCAAAGCCGGACGCACCCAACAAATGTGACCCCATGTTAAGTTTTGATGCCATCACAGAGCTCAGAGGGGAAACCATCATCTTCAAAGACAGGTAGAGTAAGAACCATAATGTTTCATGCATGGGTTAAGCTCCCGAACAGACCAAGCATGGAGTGTGGATCGGCAGCTGGAGGAGTGCCGGAGGTGCCCTTGAGCAAGGTGCCGAATCCCCAACCTGCTCCCCTGGCACTGCATTGTGGCTGCCCACCGCTCCTTATACTGTGTTTTCTTTATTTTCCCTTTTGTCACCATTTGTTAGATACTTAGTTATCCGATTCTGAAGTTACTACACAACAGTACAGTTCTTTTGTTTCTTTTGATGGGTTAAATACAGACTAAATTTCACTATGTTGTGCTGTGTTGTGTGATTGTGCGTGATAATAAAAGTTGATTAAGATTGACATGAACTCATCTTCATCATCATTGACTGTGAGGAAGAGTTGATTATTCTGTGAATCAAACAACTTACTCTAAAGTACTGAGATCAGTATTTTATGCTGTGTTTTGTCAACACGCCGCTTGTTCCGTTGCAGATTCTACTGGCGTCTCCACTCTCAGATGCCGGAGCCTGAGCAGACCCTGATCAAGTCCACGTGGCCCACCATCCCCAACAAGGTGGACGCAGCATACGAGTACCCAGAGAAGGATCAAGTCATCATATTCAGTGGTGGGTCATACATACTTATTGCCATTATATTGTGTCATTAGATATCAGATATGGACCAAAACTCTGTGTTTCAACAGGGATCCGAATGTGGGCTTTGAATGGATACACCCTCGTGGACGGTTACCCAAAGTACATACACACACTTGGTCTTCCCAAGAAAATAAGGGAAATAGATGCGGCAGTGCACATCGGAGACACCGGGAAAACTCTGTTCTTTACCGATGAGCAGTATTGGAGGTATGTGATGATGAGTATCACATGTCTCAGTCTTCAAACAAGCACATGATCTTCTATAATACTATTTTGTATTTCATCAACATTGTTTTTGCTTTTGTTTGTCACCCACAGCTACGATGAAGCAACAGCCACCATGGACAGCGGTTACCCGCGATCCATCGAGGAGGATTTTCCTGGGATGGATGACGAGGTCGACGCAGCTGCGTATCACTATGGTGAAGCCTCAAATTGTCACATTTTCAGTATAGTTAAAACATGCAAAAGTAGGATTTTCCAGCGCTACCACTTTACTGTTTTTTCCTAACTGGTATTCCACTCTGTTGTCTTTCAGGATTCTTGAATTTCTTCCACGAACACATACAGTACGAGTACAGCTACACCTCAAGGAAGGTCATTCGCATCATGAGGACCAACTCCATTCTCAACTGCTGATGACGTCTGCAACCGTCAACGATGTCTTAATAATATATGTGAATGCATGGCACACAACATCAGCACAAAAACCTGAATACAAGCAAACACACGTTAAAAAATGAGACATAGGAAGATGCAGTTCATTGAATGAGCAGAGGAGATGGAGCCATGCAGGGTTGACCTGTTAAAGTTTATTATTACTAGTGCTGGACACCTGTAGGTCATACAGTATCATTTGTCAGACACAGAATGCTGGAGTATTTCTCAGAAATGTATTTCCTTAGATTATTTTATTTATATTTATTTCACATCTCTATATTTGTACTAAAAGTTTCACTATGAACGGCAAGATCCTTAGCAGGTTAAGTTTCCTGTCAATAACAGTTTGGCTGACCTCAATATTTGACCAGTGTACATGTTTCACTAACTTTAGTATTTTAAGAGCTTGGCAGTTTAATATATTCTTTGTTTGTTTTTTGGATTTTTGTGAGTTTTGTGAAGTGCATTAAAAGCAGTGAAATTAAGATCCTGTGCTGAAGAGCTGAACGTAAAGTGATGATGTACCATTTAGTGGCATTTTTAGGGACATTTAAAGTATTTCATATTGTGCCAAATCAGAGGTTTAACACATCACATGAATGGGACTGTGTATGAAAGATCTACTTACTCAAACCAGATTTCTTAACACACGGCTTTAACCAGATGTCTTTGTAGCACTGAAGGTACATTTTTGACATATGTGGTAATTTTGGTCTGTATTTTCAAAATCCTTTAAAAAATGGTTGAAATTAAAAAGTAAAAGAATAAATAAAATGTAAGGAAACTAAAGCAACGGGTGTGGTCTTTGATCAGGACGAATGAAGCTGTCTGTGTTCGGTACAACGTATTTTAACTCAAACCTTGTTTGTAAGTTATTTGTTTGTGTGTGAAGTGAGATTGGAATAATCTTAAAGCAACTGGACTCTTGGCTCTACATAAGCTCATTTATATCTTTAAAAACATATTTAAAAAATACCACATGCACCTCATTTCAGTCAGACAGTGTAGCACTGTTATGGGACTTCCATAATACTGCCAATAAACTGGGTCATGTACATGTAGTTGTCCACCTTCTCCACTAGAGGGCGCTCCTATCAACAGTTTGAGTATGTGAAGGTATGTGAAGGTCCTGCTTTAACGTGACAGTTCTGGGACAGGTTGAGGGAAATGAAATAGCACAGGAGATATATGAAACATCAACAACAACAACATTCCACTGCTGCGGTGTCAGGTCTCTTCACCACCAGGTGTCTCAATCCATTCCTTGTTTGGAAAGGGAAAAAATGAGTGTATGCTTCATTAGCACAACAAATGTTGGGGGGAAATCTTTGGCTCCGGCCTCATTAGATCCGAATATCCGAACATCCGAACCTAGATAAAGACTAATTAGTAAAGGTCTATTACACACAGTATCTCCATCCTCCAGCATACTATTCCAATTATCCAATTATCTGAACAGAACATTTTAGGGAACATCTGGGATGTTTTGTGAAGGTGAATAAAGTGTGTGAGCTGTCTGCTGAAAGGTCAGTGTCTCTCGCTGAAGTTAAGGAAACAGCGAAGCCTGAGCCAATGCAGCGTAATCCACAGGCCCAATCCTGTGGATGTAATTACAGTGCAGTGAAGCAGTCACCTCATTTGCTCATTTCCGAGGGTGTTGCGTGGTGCAGGCTGCCTCACCTCTTCACAAATCCGGTGTGTTCATCACCGATGTCGGCTGTGAGTGTCTCACAGATGGTTGATCTGAAAGTAACACGTCTTTTACATATGAGCTCTTTTTTCAATCAAATGGAGATTAGCATGTCATTTGCATGTGTCAGAAATGATACTTCCCCTTCAGTTTGCCACTTAAGAGTTCCTGTGTTTTGAATAGAAATTCTGAAATTTTCGCAGTGGGCAATTCTAAACAAGGGGAGGGGACGTGACAAAGGAAACATTCAAACAAGAGAGCTCTTGTGTTTGGCAAACACCAGAGGCTGAGTTAACCACTAGGCAGCTGTCTTCAGGCCTCTGCTGAAAATGGTCTCACATCCTCCCTCTTCCTGTAACTTTACCTTCATGTTTATTATCTTTAGAGATTTGTGGCCCGCGAGAAAGCCGATCCAGTTTTGCCAAGATGGAAGAAGCACTCACGTTAAAATACAGCTGATGTCACATTTAAAGCTTTCTCTAATGCATGTGTATTCCAGTGAGAGGATCACTTTTTTTTCTCCTATACTTGGATGAGTTTACCCTCTTCTTGGAAAGTGAACAAGTCAGTCTCTTGTCTCTAAATATTTGCTATTGACATGCTCTCGCTTCCTCTGCGGTTTGCAGAAATTGAGCAACTCTTGGTTTCGAGTTAACTTTGGACTTTTTTTAAAGCACTTCAACAGAGAGGCTTCAAAAAGTCAAACACTTTTAGCCCCATGTGGATTTAGAGGTCATGTAAATTTATTTTTTTCCTCCATCTCATTCCAGTCACAGTCGTGCACCTCTCCCTGTTCCTGCCCCAGTCAAAAGTCATTACCATATCTGACTCTTTCAACCCGTTGAAAATGCAGCAAACTGGAGCCAAGGAAAAAAAAATCATGAACCCTGAATTTTAATATCTATCCATCCACAAGTTCAGCCAGGTCAACACATTACAGAGCATGCACTGCCCTGTGAGCGGAAGATTTAGAACAAGGAGGGTAAGGCTCTGACCATCAGTGCTCCTAGACTGGAATGAACTCCTTGAAGTTTAACCACAATGATCTCATCCACCTTTACTTCAAAATCATATTTCTCATCACTTTTTTGTTTGCGCTCTGTTTAAGCACTACAGCACTTTGGTGTAAATACAGATGTAGGATCCTTTGAGAAAACCTAGTCCAGCCCAGCAGCTCCTGATGGAAACCAGATGGAGGAGACTGACGGAGAGGGCAGCGGTCTCGGGATGTATCCCTTTTCCTCTGGGGAACTCCCTCCTCGGACTACCAATACGAGAGGGGTGATGCAAAACTCCTGCTACTCCTATGCTGAGCTGATTAATATGTGAGTGAGAGCAAGCAAACCGGGTTTTGGGGACAGAAATCTTCTTTTACTAGTATCTTTCAAAAGCTATGAATAGACAAACACATTTTCAGAGTGCAGGTGGGCCGTAAGTGCCGGACAGGTAGTGTTTTGTTGTTCAACTCAATTTGAACTCTGTGTGTTGATAGCAGATAGTATCATCCTTCTGGGTGTATCTATTTATTTTCCGTTGCCTTCTGTGTCCTTGTCTCATCTGCCTGTTGTTATTCTTCGTTTTCCCTGAATAGAATAGGGGGGGGGATGTATTTGTAAAGCAGCCAGTGCTTCACTGAAAGTGTTTCTTCCTCCTATATTTGCTGGAATGTGGAGAAAGCCAGGCTCTGCTCAGTGTTGACCCATATGTAGGTCATCCTGACCAGGTACGACCCAGAGGCAGACAGAGCTGTGTTGTAAAAGTGACCTGTAAGTTCAGTAAAAGAGTTCATCTCTTTGGTTCGTCAACAGACCTTGGAGCAGGATTCTAGGATTAAGTGCTCTAATGTTTTTTTCAAAAAGCTGCAATTTAAAGTGTTCATTGCAGAAGATTATTAATAATTGGTCATTTGTTAAGAAGTGCAGGCGAGGCCTTTGTCAAGAACACATTTAAGTCTTTCCTTAAAACTTATTATACAAAGATTAGGAAAATAAGTAGTTGGTTAAAAGACCACCTAAATATTTTGAGATTTATATAGTGTAAAGAGCAAAATGTTTTGTATTCAACAACACTTTACGGCATATAGGTTTTTAAAAAAGTGTAACTGGAATGCTTGAAAGAAATCAGTTGTATTGATAAAGATTATAAAACAGTTTTTACCAGTAGCCCACATGGTGTTTCCATGAACAACTGTAATTTTGTATCAATAGGTTTTATATACTCTGTGTCTGAACAGTGTCGGCCAAAATGAGAAACACCATCCAGGATTTCTTCCCTGTCAAGCTAAGTCATGCTTTTCTCTCACATACCTCACGTCACACGCCGTAGATACAGATAACCTGAAACTGTCTCAAGACCTCCTTTAACAAACAGCAATGTGAAGGGAAATAAAGCTCCGGCTCCATTCGCAACCTGTTCCATGAGTTATTCTAATACGTGGACGCGTCACACTGTCACTGATATTGAAGAGAGACGCGTAAAAATATAGAATTATTTATAGCAGACTGTCTGAGTAAGATGTACTTGAGCATTTTGACTTGTATCCTACATGTAGGTCAGCCACATTATAAAACCTAAATGAATGTGTTGCATTGTCATTGTTTAAGCCCATTTGTCTTTAGGATGCGTAGCCATGCAATACAATGGTACACACTTTGACAGCTTTAGTAGCTCTTTAGAAAAACAAGTACATCTTTGTGGCCTGTGACAAGTTGAGCTGATCTTTTGTTTGTCTGAAAAAGAAAAGATCTGTGCTGAGCCGCAGTATGCTGACACAGTGCCTTGGTGTCTGGTGTCACGGCAGCACGACAAGCCAGAGGGCATTCGTAACATCAATAGGTCAATATCACCGCTGTCAAAGGGAAACTAAGTGCTTCAGTGCCAGTAATACACGATAAACAGGTAATGTACCACTTAAGAAACAGTCATTCACTCTTACATTCAAAAGATTATATTAAACTGCTTTGTGAAAAACATTCCTGGGTGTCGACCTCCTGCGGCACTGAAAAGTTAAACCTTGCAGTGTTCGCAGTAGTATTGGTCTCATTCTTCAAGCAAAGTGAATTAGCTGCCTGGATAGTCTGATCCTCCAGAGGATCTATCCGGGGACGGTCAAATTACATTTGTTTCATAGTTGTTCATGCAAGAACAGAACACTTAATAAAGACACCCTGGTTCTGCTTGCCTGAATTAATTATACACAGTTCAAAGCTTCCCTTCCACTTTTGAAGTAATTACAGCTCAGAGCCAGACCACTGCAGAGAAGTGATTACCTTTTGATTTCTTCGCTCCCACATGTCCCACACTGCCATAACGTAAACGGCACGGCCAAATTATGTTGTTTTTAGGTAAAAGAAAATATGTTATGATGTTTAAAATAATCTTTTTTTGCTGTTGGTGTGCTTGGGAAACAACACAGGAACAAGACAAACGGGTAGATAAAGTTGTTTTATTCAGGAAAAGCTGAGGCAAGATATATATCTTGTTAAATCTTGTTCCAGCCTGCATCAAAGCAAACTAACGTTTGGTAGCGATGACACCAAAGATATGTGCACATAAAATATATATGCCAATACTGTTGGTTTTTTTCCATGTCAGCTGACTGAAAACATGGCTGACTCACTCAATGTCTATGTTGACCTGGTGTCTCTATGCACTAGAAAAGTGTCTCTTGTTCCCCTGATTACCCTCCTACTGCACTGTATTTATATAATGACGTTACTTCAAACCATGAAAGCAAGATGTCACAAGAAGATAAAAACCTGCTGCGTGGATGTATTTTACATTCGTAGGAAATTAACTTTCTGTCAGAGCGGCGTCAACAGTCAGACGAGTATATTTTCCGATTAGATGTCACTGCAGGGTTTGTTTTTCAGTGTCAAACAGCAAAGTCAACATCGCTGTGGCGATCTCCATCGATTCCGGCTCTGACAGGAACTTTTTCTCCTCTTCTTTAGTTGTGAAACATAAAGAGAAATTGTGTTTTATCATGTAGTGTTTTCTTTTTTGCATCTTGCAGTTTGCATGTGAACACATCTGTGCATGTCCCAGACTACACAGAAGGACATTGTTAGGAGCAAGCTGAAAGGTACACGCGTGACTTGTTAACTCGGTGCAGCGTTCTCATTCAGTTCCACTGAAATTTCATAATTCAAACTGGACTTTTCATCAGACATGAAGGTCTACAATAGTGGGACCAAAGGGGGGGAAATAAAAATCCCCCCTTTTGATCTGTGACCTGATTTGTTGTGCTGCTGCATTCCCCGAATGTCTTTGCGATTTCACAGTGTCGTAGTGAGCGTGTATCTCAGCGCTACTGAAGGATGGCTGGTTCCTTTGGGGCGTCAGCATGCCAGTACTTCAGGAGACATAAAAGCACAAACATCTGGAAGTGTTTTGGGCAATGGGGTCAATCCGCTAAGGGCTCTCAGACAGCCTCCTACCTACTTGAAGCGACTATAGTTGCATTCACACACACAAAAGAGTTGGCAAACTCAGATAAACAAGACAAACTGAAAAGATGTGTGCTTTGTTTAAAACCTATTTTCCTATGCTTAATGTCCAGGATGTAACATTTACAGTACAGCTATGGTGCAATCTGTGAGAAACCCTGTTAGTCAGCCTTATTTTGTCTTTGAGTTTTAAAGATGGTCACAGAAAGGAAGGAATGTCTCCTCTGTCTCACAGGGGAAAAAAAACACTCATCGCCAGACACACACACAGCAGATCTGTAAGTCGCCATGACTGAACCCCGGCTCTCTCTCCCTCGTTCTCCTTTCTCTACTCGTCTCCTTCCCAGTCACCTCCTTGGCAGGTCACCAGTGTAGCACAGTATTCTTCCAAAGCCCTGGCATGTCTGTCCACTTCAGTGGGTTTTTTTATGGACCATTCAAGACCACAAGTGTGTGTAGCCAGACATTTTCAAGTAAATTACACAAGACGTAGCTGAGCAGCAAAAAAGTGAAGAAAGTGCTGTGAAGGAAAACCACTGAGATCTAAAGACACACCCTGCTATGAGTCAGTCCCGTACATGGAGACAAAATCACACACCGCTTTGAAAAACTGGATCACGAGCAAATGTTACAGCGTCAAAACGGATGCAATCCTTCCTTGTGTAGACTTAATATTTAATGTGTTTGTGCTCCTCTGTCGACACGTTACACAGGACAAACACAGTCACACCACAAGAGTCTCAAGAGTCACTTTATTACACATATGATTCATATATATATATATATATATATATATATATATATATATATATATATATAAAGTTATATACATACAAATATAAACATCTACACCAAGACTGAGCTCATCTGACTTTCAATCAACCAACTGAAAAGGTGGATTTCCGTTAAAAAAAACGCACGACCAGAACACTGCAGGCCTTCACCGATTGCTGACAGTCAGGAACCCTGACACGCAGTCTTGAGGCCGACCGTCCACAGACACACCACAGGAATGCAGAGGTGAAGTCACACATGACAGCACAGTGCGGCTTGGTGTTTTAAAACGCCGACCGGACACCGGCATCGCTTCGTTTACCAATCACGCCAAAGTTGTCCCGTTCAACTGGACATCGATTTGACAGCGGGTCAAAATACACTCCCGGTCAACATGGCCACAGCTTGTTTACTCCTGTTGTGTAATGTCAAGAAAACAAAACAGAACACAGATCAGTGAGCACCGTGTCAGAGGCTTCGTGGACCTAATCCATCCATGTCCGTGAGTATGAAGGGTAATTGTGGAACGTCAGGTTTGGGCTGGTGGTCGAAGAACTAAAGTCAAGTAATGAAATGGTCCCAAGAAAAAGATCTTTGCCCTCAACCGTTACAGACGGAACTGGAAGTTTCACTCCTGAGACCTCTGGTTCTTGGATTGTACAGATCGACATTTTTGGGATACGTATATATATGTAACACAATAATATATAATACCCACATTAGCTCGCTTTGGCGGGAGCTAAATAAGACGATTGATACCACTCTCATGTCTGTATGCACGCATAAAGCTACAGCCAGTAAATAAGTTCAGCATTGAGAAACTGAGAAACAGGGAAACCGGGGGGGGGGGGGGGCAGCTGAAAAGGCCTAACTGTCCCTTTAATGATTTCAATAAAGCATCACATTCAAAGTCAAACAATAAATCGTAGTGGTCGACAGTCAACTTCAGTGTGGATATTATGAGCAAAGCACCGAAGGTTTTCATATTGGATGACGTTCAGGCCACGTGTACGTATGTTGTTTAAAAAAAAACATTGCAACTGGAATAAGTGCAAATAGTTCTTAACATGGTCCCACTTTAAACGATGTACATAACACACCAAAAATACTTAAAATTGAAAAGGTTCTCTACCAGTTTAGGAGACGTGTTGAGATGTGGAAGAAATGGATGTGTGTTGTGTGGAATGCTCTAAAAGGTACGGATACGTCTGTCGAGAGTTCATGACATCTACTGTGAACCTTTAAGACATACTCCAAAAGGCACACCGTGGCACAGAGGTAATTGAGTGAAAGTAACACACAAAAAAAAGAAGTGTTTTGCATGTCAAAGCAGATAAGGCACATCTCTGGCATCAGGTATACTCTTTCAGAACTTGGTTGTACGACCGTGCTGGAAATCAAAAGTATTGTTTGGGGGAGGGGGGTCTCCGAAACCATTTAACCATCCGACAAGCACTCCTGATGGAGTAGACCGGCCCTCCTAAGGTGTGGTCCATTTCCAAAGTTTCACAACACGATGCCCTCCACATCACAGTTCAGCACCTCGTTGTGTTGGACCTGGCCCAGTTGCCGGTGGAACTGTCCCTGTTTCTGGGTCCTCCAGCAGTGGACGCTTTGTCCCAGTGTAATACTCTTAATACTGGGCAGATGGGTCAGCATGTTACTTGGCAAGGATGCCACACCAGAGCCAGACAAATTCAGCTCCTGCAGGGAGTCCAGTCCGCTGAAAACCGCCGGGCTCAGAGTCTTAAGCTCCGGGTTGTTCGAGAGATCCAGAACTTGCACGCTCTGGAGGCCTTTGAAGCTGTTCGGCTCGATCTCCTGGAGCTCGTGGAGGCCGCTGATGGACAAATAAACCAGATCTTTCAGCTGAGCAAAAGCTCCATCCTTGAGCCGTGCGATGGGGTTTCCGTCCACATTGAGGTACCTCAGCGAGAGCCTCGCCAGCCTCGGTATGCTCGACAGCCGGTTTGATGACAGATTTAAGCTCTGGATGTGTAAAACTCGTCCATGCAGAGTCATTGAGACGGACACAAGCTTGTTATGAGACAGATCCACGCTGACAGGTTCACCGTTAACTTTCGTGGCGAACACGTCCATGTCGAACTCTTGGAAGCCGTTGTGGCTGAGGTCAACGTCAACCAGAGGGAGGCCGGCGAAGCAGCTCGGGGAGAGGCTCTGCAGCTTGTTGTGGCTCAGATCCAGAGTCTCCAGGTAACGCAGCTTAGACAAAGCATTGGGTGTTACCTGGTAATGTAAATAAAAGGGAGAGAGATAGAGAGAAAGAAAACATTTTAAGAGTTATCTCAAGTGGGGTGTTAGAGCTTTGTCTCCTGAAAACAGCTGCTTTCTACACACACAAAGTTAGCTAACACTGGCTAACACTGTATCGCCAAAACCTCAACTCAACTTTTCATCTGCATGATGTGTAAGGATGAGTAACTGTTTCATTCAGAAGGTTAAAAAGCCTCATTACAGACCAGGAGGTGTCTACTTGAGCTCCTCTGAACACTCACCTCTGTTATAAGGTTGCTGCTCAGGTCCAAGCTGACGAGAGTGGTGTAGCCGGGACCAGCCAGCATGGCGTCACTGAGCGGGCCCATGGCGTTGGAGGACAGGTCCAGGTGGGCCGTGTCCAGCGGGATGGGGATGGGCATGGAGGTCTCGGGTCCCAGCCCTCGGCAGTCCACCCTGGTCAGGCTGAAGCTGTCGAACAGGCCAAAGCTTTCCACCTCACAGCGGCAGCGGCGGTGGCAGTTCTTGACGACGCTGGACTGGACCGAGGCCAGCAGCGACAGGCCGAGCCACAGGAGGAGTGCCATTGTGCTCTGGAGAGAGAGAGAGAGAGAGAGAGAGAGAGAGAGAGAGAGAGAGAGAG